CTCCATGTTTTTCTGAGAAAGCCAATCAGAGACTTTTTTTTTTCTCTTGAGAAAGATGATTTCAGTCCTCAAGAGCTCTTTTTAAATGTTAGCATGGCGGAGAACGGCATTTTTTATAGACAGATGTTGTCGTTAAATGTGCTCACGGTAATGATGTTTGTTTAGTGCTTATCTCTGAGGAATTCAGAGCACTTTATAGATGTTTTCTTCATTATTTCCTCAAGGTTTTTCGCTTTTCTTTTTCTGATCATGCGTTAATTTCAGCTATAAACTTTTCATTCAGTGTTTCTCACTGTATCTTCCCTGAAATACCTCCTGCTGACCTCATTTCCTACTTACTACTCTCTGCATTTCCGGTATTACACACTCACACCAGTTCAGATATTCTAGGAAACATTCAGAATCTTCCCTTTCGGTGTCTTAGGCTTCTCTTTGTCTATTTGCTGTTTTTCCTCACTCTTGACAAACTCTCCCATCTACATCTACACCATAATTCCTTCCCCTTAAAACAATTGTCAAAACATACCTTGTTTTTCTACATAGAAAGTTCCTATTTTACTTAGTTTTAGTTTACTTGTTTCTAACTGCTCCGCTCTCTTTTGCCTAGGGGTAGCTAATTCAAGGTAACATGTTCTTTAACATGGGGACTGCATAGCATTGTGAATCTGGTATTTAGAGCAGAGGGATTTTTTTTTTCCTAAAATTATTTCTCTTCCAGTCCTCAAGGAATTTGTTAGCTTTTCTTCTTCACTGCAGTCATCCTTAAAGAAACAATACAAAAGAGTCAAGACTTTAAGACAAGCAAATCTTTTTGTGTAAATCAACCAAACACTTCCCTTGCTTCGGAAAATAACCATGTAGAACACTTTTTCACTGGCTTCTAATCAGATGGAAGTGTGGTAAAGAGCTTCATCCTGAAAAGATCCTGGGATCATGAGATTTTATGCAAGACACCATAGAAATCGTTCCCTTATTCTACTGATAGGGGAACTGAGACTCAGAGTTCAAAACAGTTGTCTGTGGTCACAGAAATACTTGGGATACTTTCAGAATTTAGTGTAGGGGACAAGATACCTGAAAAGTTAAAGTCCCCAAGGCAGTAAATAGCATGATGTAATGAATGATTTGGTTACTCTGGACCATTTGTGAGCTGGTAAATCTCTAACAGCTGGGGGTGGGGGTGGGCAGAGGAAGCCCCGAATGGCTGTGTTTGCCAACTACGTGGGTGCCAATTTCAAGCCAATTTCAGCCTACCGGTGTGAAGCCACTGAACAAGGAGTTGGGGAGAGATGAGTGCTGTCCAGTTTGGGCTCCTGCAGAACAGACAGTCTGGCTGGAATGAACAGGTCTGTAAAGAGGAAGACACCGGAGCTAGACCCTTTCTCGGCACGCATCATACCTTTCAGCTGTGAAGGACTATCCTTGATCTTTCTTTTGAGCAACTGTAGGACTTCAATCCTTTGTTCTTGCTATTGCCTCAGTGGGTAAAGTGCTCTTCACCAAACGCGCCATCACATTCCAGTGCCCCGCTCAAAGATAAGTGCCTTCATCAAGCTTTGTTCCCACCCCACCCCCCAACCCAGTCAGGAATAATTACTTGTATTCTGAATCCCAGAGTACTTTATTTATACCTTTTATTAGGGTAATTACCAAAGCCTAAAAATTTTAATATTATTGTCAATAGATAGTGTCTTTCCCCAATAGACTGTCCTCAGAGGGCAGGGGTCTTGTTTTATTCTTTCGTTGACAGAGAGGCAAAGCAGTGTAGAGGGTACAGCCCAAGCTCGGGAGCCAGACATTTCAGCTTCTCACAAGCTTGCTGTGATGATCAGTGAGACTACTGGAATGTTCAGTGCCTACCACATACTAAGGCCTTACTAAACGCCACCTGATATTGTTACCTGTAACACACAGCCCAGTCCTCGGCACAAAAGTGGCATGCAGTTGCTTGGGTTGAATTTAATTAAAGTGAAGCAGGGAATGACCTAGCTAGCCTTTTGGGAAGTTAGGAGAAGGTGTGCTAAAGGGGACCCCATGTGCATGTTATTGTTGGATAGATGAGAATGAGCTAGTAAATAAGGTCATTCGATCGTAGAATTATAGAAACAGAACCTAGTTTTCCCACTGTGGCATGATGAACACAGTACAGAGTGGAATTGTCTGTGCCCTTCCCTCACCACATGTGCTAGAGTCTGTAAATCCATAAATATACCATTTGTTATTGCAAATAGCTTTTATAGACTGCTGTTAATTGAAATATGTCCTTTTCGATACTGTGCAGTTGCTTTCTTAAAAATCTAAAAGCCAGACTTTATGTATAAATACTATTAAATCTCATCCCATTTGGTTTAGTCCATTCCAATTAATTCATATCACTTCCAACCTTGATTCTGCAATGCGGTATATCTTCTATCCCATTTAGCTTTGTGTTGTCTGCAGTTTTGTAAGCAGGGCTTCTGTTTGGTTTTACAAAACACTGTACAGGCCACTTGGAAATACAGAGTCTCTGGATGTGTCACTAAACACCTCACTCCATGATAATCTTGATTCATTAAACAATATTTTCTTTTTCTTTTCGGATATAGATTTTAAACTCCTTTTAAATCTGTCAAAGTATACGATAATCTATATTCTATGGCATGGCGTCCCCAGGGGTGTCCTGAAACTTTGCCAGAATGCTACCTCTGCAACATTTTTGTTTTACAGCTAGAATAAGTCTATTAGAAAACAACACACAGCTTACTTGTGGAAACCTGTACCTGATTAACCTATTTTAGCTCTCAATATCAATACCTTCCTTTTCCAGTAGGAACAAAGGATTCGTGCTTCAAAATAGTGAAGTTAACTCTGTCAAGATAGATTAGGCTCCGTGCACACACCTTGCCCGTCTTAGGTGAGAAGTTTGGACACATCCCAAGGGCAGTGAGAGGCTGTTGAAATTCTTGACTAGGGATCATATAACCAATGCCAGTTTGGGAGGAGCCCTCTGGCAGCGTGTCGACAGTGTACTCTGTGGGGCTCCCTAGGTGAAGTTTGCAGTGGCCTGCAGTAATCCTAGCACGTGCTGCTGCACCATGGGACTAGCCTAATAAGTAGTAAAAACAGAAGAGAATACATTTAAAAGATTTAAAAGAATAAAACTCCACAGGGACTATTGGGAGAAGATGATAAGAGTGAACAAATAAATAAATAAATAAATAAAAATAGGTACATTAGAGGTGCCCAACTTTTCCCCGTTGTTGAACACACAGAAAATGATCCCAGTTTGGCCACGGGGATAAATAGGGCTACTCAGACTTGGAGGTGACCCAATATCATGGGTCCCCACGATGGGGTCTCCCTGCCGCCAAGCCCTATCTCCCCTGTAACCACTAGCTGAAGACCTTAGTATCCCCATGTGGCTGAGAAGCGATTTGGACATTTCTGCTTTAGAAATAAGTACTCTTGGCAAAAGGAAGAAAAACGGATTTACACCAAAATGGGACTTGCACTCAGAGAAGACTATACCCATAAAGGAAAGCGGACTTTTGGTTCAGTGCATAATTCTGAATACAGAAGTGAAATGGGGCTTGCATACTTGGAAGAAAACGATCACCAAGGTTAATGCCCAACACGTTGGTCCAGGACACAAACCACTGTCCGTGTTCTAGTGATGCAGTAAAATCAGGGCAGTGGCTGCTCAGGCCTAATATGGGCATGAAAGTAAGCAGCCCCTGCCTCGGTGGGAGATACAGACCACACCAAGGGAGGTGCTAGGCAGACACCAAACTGTAGACAAAAGCAGAAACAAAGGAATATTGGTTTTGTAAGAATATGGGGATCTAAACCCGTTTACTTGAAAAGTTATGAAGTACTGCCCATTTGTTGCTCCCGGTTGATTTATGTAGTTAATAATTAAGTAGTTTTGTAGTCCTGGTGCCTCGTGTATGCTACTAATTTGCATTGCTGCACGGAGGAAATTATAGACTGGGAAAGTGCAGGGGCTCACAGTCCATAATTCCTGTGGTAATTGAGGATGTTTGGTTTTAGAAGATGAAAAGGTGTTCCCTCTTCAGGAAGCTCAAGGGCAGAGTGAGAACAGCACCCACCAACAGAGTCATGCAGATTCTATTATAAAAACGGGAACTAATGGCTCTCCTAAAAGATAATGGACCCACACATTTCTCCTGAGTGGCAGCAGGGCCACCCTGTGAAGGATTCCAGGGGGCACCCACCTCTCACACTGGAGTACATATGAATGGTGCTTCTGAAGTGGGGGGACACAGCCTGCTCAGACGGAAAGACCTGTATGATTCACCCTGGTGCCCTAGCCAACCCCAGCAGGTGCCTGTCTGCACTGACCCGTGGCGTTCGCCACCGGCCCATCCCCGCTTCCTTCCCCAGCTGAGCTGTGTGCTTTCATCCTCACGTATCATTTTATTCCAGTTCAGATCTACCCGGTTCTCCACATGGCTTCCCACTGGACCTCTGTTCCAAGCCAAAACACATCCTTCTGGCTCATTTGCTTCCGTCATTCTGTTGACCTTTCTGGAGCTATTTGCTGCCCTCACTATCCTGCTCCTTGTTACAGTTAAGTAGAAAAAAAAAAAAGCCACCAGCCGCACAAGGCAGGAGACTCTGGCATCTTCCCAGCACCTGGTACAGGCTTCAGTTTTAGCGCTTGCCACCTCTCACCGTAAACATTTGTTTACATTTCTGACTCCTTCACTCGGTGTGAGTTCGACGAAGGGCAGAACGACGCTTCTTTGAGCCGCAAGGTTCCGCAGGATGCCCAGGACAGAGTCGATCCTCTTTTAATGTTTGGTACGTGAGTGAGCAGCTGGATATATTACCTCTCTTAGGTATGGACATGGTAGTCTCATTCTGGGCATCCAGGTTAAAAAGAATTTCCTCTCTATTACGCACCGTGCCTGGGTCCGTTTCCATTTGTTTAACAGCCCCCCGGGTGATGCTAAGGTCCCTGCCAGCGGCTTCTGAGTCTTTCGTTTACCCCTGTGCAGGTGGGGAAGTGGAAGGACAAGTCCCTGCAGATGAAGTACTACGTGTGGCCCCGGATGTGTCCTGAGACGGAAGGACAGGAGGACGACCATCTGAGCATTGTAACCCTGGAGGAGGCCCCCTTTGTCATCGTGGAAAGTGTGGACCCTCTGAGCGGAACCTGCATGAGGAACACAGTCCCCTGCCAAAAACGCATAGTCTCTGAGTATGGCCCCGCCCCCAGGGCTCCGGGTGGCGTGGGCAGTCCCGTCTCACACAGCGGTCAGCACTGCCGGGGCTGGGACCCGAGGCATACAGTGTTCAATTTTCGGTTCCCCCCCCCCGAGCAGAGGAATCCCTAGCAGGCCCGCGGTGTGGTGTCTGGGCCTGTCCAGATCATGCGCTGGCAGAATTACCGCCAACCATCCCAACGCGTCTTTGGCCTTGCCTGGTCTCAGCACGCAGGACCTGAAATTTATGGAGATTTACGCTTGCGTTGGTGTTGAACTATGTTTTCTCCGGATATCGTCCCCCAGAATATTGAGATTTAAGAGCATTTTTGGAAATAGGTAAAATTATACTGTTAGAAGTCAGGATAATGATTCTCTTTGGTGAGAAGGGGAAGTGCCTGGAAGAGAGGAGAAGAGCGTTTACCTTTCTGTACCTGGATTTGGTGCTCGTTAAGTGGTTGAGGGTCTACAGATGTTTCCAACTGAACCCTTAGGCTGTGTGCACTTTCCTGATGTACATTGTACTTCAAAGGAACACTAAAAACTGTGAGGAAACGCTGTTTGGTGTGACAAGCTAATGAAAGAATTGCAACTCTGTCGTCTGATCGATTTCCTCACTCGGGTCTGATGCACATTGTGCTGAGCTGTGAAGGGGAGGCCCTGCTTTGGGGTGGGAGTTTGAATGGTAAAGGATAAAAGCTGCCTCTTGTATAAAGCCTTGTTTTGTTGTTTGTTTGTTCGTTCGTTTGTTTCTTCAACCATTTAGGAATAAAACAGATGAGGAGCCAGGTTACATCAAAAAGTGCTGCAAGGGGTTCTGTATTGACATCCTTAAGAAAATTTCCAAATCTGTGAAGTTCACCTATGACCTTTACCTGGTTACCAATGGCAAGCATGGGAAGAAGATCAACGGAACCTGGAATGGTATGATTGGAGAGGTGAGTGTCAGAAAGCAAGGGCCATTTCCATTTTGTTTCATGTTAATGTTAAAAAATGCTCGTTTGTAAATTTTAGAAAATACAGAACCGCGAGCAGGCTCTCGCGGGCACACTGTGCTAAGGACGCCAGTGCCGGGCCACTGCGGTGGCCCCTGGCCTTCCTGAGTGCTCTTCCTGAAGCCCTGTGCTTCCTCCCAGGTGGTTATGAAGAGGGCCTACATGGCGGTGGGCTCACTCACCATCAATGAGGAGCGATCTGAGGTGGTCGACTTCTCTGTGCCCTTCATAGAGACTGGCATCAGTGTCATGGTGTCACGCAGCAATGGGACTGTCTCACCTTCTGCCTTCTTAGGTAAGTGATATGCCTGCTGGGGTGGGGGACGTGGAGATAAGGAAGGACGCATACTCGGTATGAGGAGTAAGGGACCTTAGGGGCGAGCACGTGGCCAGGCTCTTTCAGCCAGGAGGTGGTTTGCTGGCAGCCTGTTTAATTTGGGGGACTTAAGTATTGATTATTCTCAAATATGAAAACTGAAGAACACCCAAAAACAATTGATAGCACAGCATAAAACGCTGGAAGAAAACAGCGTTAGGCTGGCAACCAGTCAGCCTACTGGAGTCTCATTCCTCCTGCTAGGGACTACTCCAGTCTCATTCCTACCTCGTAGTCGGCACTTGGCCCTGAGCAACTGTGCTCCATTCTGGGACTCAGTTTTCTCATCTATAAAGAAGGCATTTCAACTAGCTGATCTCAAGGGGTACTTCCTCCTGCTTTAATAATGTCTAACTCTAGGGGCGCTTGGGTGGCTCAGTTGGTTATCACGGGTCGTGAGTTTGAGCCCCAAGTCTGCTCTGTGCTGACAGCTCGGAGCCTGAAGCCCGCTTCAGATTCTGTGACTCTCTGCCCCTCCCCCACTCTCACTCGCTCACTTGCTCTCTCTCAAAATTAAATAAAACATTAAAAAGGATCTAAAAAAATGTCCAATTCTAGATATCATTGACATGCCTTTTTAATTATCTTCAAGGATTGAACTCGGTGCTACCAAAAAAGGTTTTTTGTTTCCACGTGCATTTTTCTGAGCTTTGAGAGATACAGCTGATCTGACTGATGCTTGCTCGCATTTTACCCTGCCCATTCTCATGTCGTTCTGTACTTCCTTACTCTCCAGCATCGCTTATGTGTCAGAGCCTTAGATGTGATATAAGACCTGGTGAGACAAGGCCAAGATTTCAGTTAAATGAGGTCTTTTGTGAGCTCATACCCCATATTTTTTGCAGAGGCCGTGAGAGCAAGGGATTGGAAAATAAAATGTCACCTTGAAAACCGGACATTGGGCTGGGAAACAGGAGGCTTGGCTTGGACATAAACAAGCTGTAAGCCCTTGGACGAGTCACAAACTCTCTGAAGGACATCAACTTTTTTTTTTTCCATGAGGATATTGGAACAGACCTTGACTGATAGTACTTTAAGCTCTATCTGGCAGGCAGTGGGGGAAAGGGGAAGTTTTTAATTAATGCTCTATAAAGTAGAGTTATAGGTGCCATAGAATTTTTCTATAAATTACTCAAGTTTCTCAGCTAGCCTTCTTGGAGGAGCAAATTCTGGACCTGCCGACTTTATGTGAAATATTATTAGCACACGCTATATGCGTTAATCCTCATAGCAGCTTTATGTATTTTATTTGTTTTTTTTTTTCCTTTGCAAAGATAATTGGAACATTAAGAAATACAGACAAAAGTGCATTCTGATTCTAACCACAATATAGCACTAACCTCAGCTTCTGAACTGGAAGAGCTAGTGATACATCAGCATAGCCCTCGATGACATAGCAGTGCCAGGCAGGGTGTGTGTGTGTGTGTGTGTGTGTGTGTGTGTGTGTGTGTGTGTGTGTGTAGGAGAAGCAGTTAGTTACAGGGGTAAAAGAAGCCAACATTCATTGAATTCCTATTATGTGGTTTTCCGAGTGTTACTGTACATCTTTTTGGTGTATTATCTCATTGACACCATTATTATACCCGTTTTGTGTCTTGGGAAACTGAATCTTAGACCCATCAAGCAATTTTCCAATAATCTGTCAGTTCATAGCTGGCAAATGCAGGATTAAAGCCCAGAGGTGCTGCCTTCAGGGCCTGTGTTCGGTAGTCACGGAGCCATTTCAGAGTGCAACTCCTAAATCCGGAACCAGTGTGGTGGGCACAGACAAACTTTGCCCCAGGGGACCTCAGAGGATAACCTGGCCCTGCCAAGTTCTGAGTATGACCTTGGAAAGGACCTTGACCTCTGTAAAATAGAAATGGTGATACCATAATGCAAGGGCCACTATAAGGATTATATAAAATAGATGGTGAAAGTACTTTCTAAATTGTAAAAAGCAATACAAATGTGTGTTGTCTTTTGTGTACAGAAACTTGCCCTGGGCTAAATGCGGGGAAAGGAAGCTCAGAGGGGATGCCTTTACTCAGTTACTCCCTAATCTAAGACAAAAGTGAAATCCGAGTGGGACTATAATCCGGGAGAGCTGAGGGGGAGGGGCCTTCCCTACTCCACCACAGAGAGGCTTCGAATTAAATCTGTTACCCTTACACCTCTGGCTGCCACTGAAAGGTTTTATGTTTCACAGTTGGCGTGTGCCTCATCAAGGTCCTTTTTAAATTGTTAAATGACCGGGTTTTTGTAACTCCCTTCAAAAGTCCAAAAGTAAAGTAGGTTTCAAGTAAGAAAATATTTTCTAATTTCCAGCCAGTTTTTCCCCTTTTGCAACTTCATCTTTATTAATGATTTGGAAAGTGGAAAAAACAGTATGTTAATTCACTTAGTTATGAGTTTACAATGTGACGTGACAGCTAAAAAGGCCAGAACTATTTTGAGACACAATTGAGGGAACATCGTATCATGGGAAAGAATAGCAATTGTCCCTTTTTGTAGGCCTTCAGTGAGGTGGTTCTTGGAATATGGTGTTCAATTTCTAGATGCCTCTAAGCCAGAGAGGTATAGATCAGCTGGAAGGGATTCAGCAAGAATGATTAAAGAAATTAAAGAAGGCACGCTCTTGCTGTCTTGCCTGGTCCTATCTTAAGAACCCGTGTTAGGGAATAGCTCGTAGTTGTTTTGTTAATGACAGCTGATGCTGTTTCCTTGTCACCTGCTGCATTCCCACTGTTAAGAGTCACTGATTGTCAAGATGGATGGATTTTTTTTTTTTTTTTTTTGGACGTTGACTTCTATTCTTCTACCCTAACGATGGTCAATAAAATCCACCACAGTAAAGTGGGTTGAAAAGCAAATTGAGGCTGGGAAGTTTAGGAGAGGTGAGGCAAGGGGACCAATGACATTCGCGGGGTGTCATTATCACTGAACCAAGTCAAGCCTGGACTAGTGACCTTATCTGTTGGGAATGAATTTGCACATAAGGTTGGGAAGCATTGGTGAAAGCCTGTCCAGGTCTCCATCACGTGGTGTGGGCAGCCGTATCGGTGAGAACGTAAACCAGGAACCACACCCATATGATTCATTTATTCCAGACCTGGTACTTCTTATGGTTGTACATTTCCTGGCAATGGCAGAAACTATCTCAAAGAGTTCACAGGCAAGAAGCTCTTCCTCTTTGGAAGAAAAGAAACCTTCACTTGCCCATCTGGGGAATGGAGACCCCCAGATGCAGCCTCTCCCCCCTCCCCAACTCAGGCCCCGGCTCTCTGAAGGGACGCAGCCCAACTGTGGTCTGTTCTCCTCAGAAAACACATGCTGCCTGAGCAAATGGATACACAGATGAATCAGAATCCGTTTTTCCTCTGTCTTAATTCCGAGCGCTGATTCTGTCTTTCCTTCCCCAGAGCCATTCAGTGCTGACGTGTGGGTTATGATGTTCGTGATGCTGCTCATCGTCTCAGCTGTGGCTGTCTTTGTCTTCGAGTACTTCAGCCCTGTGGGTTACAACAGGTGCCTCGCTGATGGCAGAGGTGAGGCCGGCTGCGGCCGTTGCGTTTCTGCATTTCTTTTGTGCTGGTGGTCACCTCCGGGCCTCCCTACCCCTCCTGTGCTGTCTGCTCCCCTTCCCTAATGCTCCCATCCCTGAAAATGAATTCCCTCAGCCGCCTATGTCAACAGCTTGGCAGCTCATTAGAAATACCCCAGTTAAGACGTCAGTCTGAGTGTGTGCCCCTCGCTGGCAGAAGCCTCACCCGACAAGCCCAGTTCTCCCCTGGGGGTAAACTGGAGGAATGCTGGCGGGAGATCACGGGGCATAGACAGGTCAGAGGAGATTATTTTGATAACCTGAGGCGATGAGTGGTCTGTCCGAACAGATGGACTCACAAGGCAGATAGGCCCGTATATTAAGAATAAAAACTTGAGGCTGCCCTTGGGTGTAAGCAGGGTAGTCGTGGCTGGAAGAGTCCTCCACCACTGAGGTACAAGCTCCCCAAAGCATGTGACCCTGGCTCAGATCCCGCTTCCGGGGGTACAGACGTTGGCTGTTTGAAATAAAATGGCCAACAGATAGCAGTTCTCACACCGAGCTACCGTTGGGCGCCATCCGGTTTTCTGGCTAAGTGTGGGTCAAGAGATATGAGGGCTGCCCGTGTGTTTGAGGCATTTATGAGACTTCACAGAACATTTACTAAAATTTTTGAAGGGGGCCATGGGACCCTTGCAAATACATCCTCCAGACCATTCGAAAAACCCCAGAAAGTTAGGAACTATTACACTTTTTACGGAGTCTTCCCCCTTCCAGAATGTGAGCTTTATTCTGAAAGTATGCCTCCGAGAGGAAAGGTTTTTTTTGTTTTTTATCTGGGCTACACAAAGAATCATCTGTGGGGCACTTAAAAGCCCAAGGTTCTTGGACCTCATTTGCTAATACTCTGACTCACTGAGTCCCGTGTGGGGCTCAGACCACTACTATGTTTCAAAAGAGTGGTTTTCTACTTTGGTTGCAAAATAGAATAATATATATAAAATAATTATAGAATAATAACCACACAACAATTTAATAAGAATCTTTGGGGTCGGGGTTCTAGGCGACAGCGCTGTATCAAAGTTCCCCTTGTGCTTCTGCTGACTTCACACTCCAGGCTGTAAACCGCTGCTGCCCTGAGGTATTTCTAGGCGCAGACCTACCTTCTTATTTGGCTAGTGCATTCTGGAGCAGAGGTCTGAATGTCTCCACAATAGGGTATAGTCAGGGGACTTTGTACCGGTGCTCAAGGGTCTTCCAGAAGCCAGGACCTACTCCCCATCCTGAGGAGTAATAGTAACAAGTGAAACCTCTGAGAAACACACAAGTACGTACGTATGTTGACCGTGCCCAGAACTGGGATCAGTGGATGCTCTCCCAATCACCATGAAGAAGTCAAGGAGGTGAAAATCCAGCCACAAAATTCAAAGCAAGGGCTTATAATTACTTTACCGAAGGATGCTAGCCTTCGCGAAGGAACGCCACACGGGATCACTTGAAATATCGAGTCTCCTTGGGGCGTTGAACAATGTACAACACTTTGATTTATGAACAACTTTTTAGTTACACATCTGTTCCACGAAATAAGGTCCACACGCACAGATGTGTGTGCACAGCTAGACACTAGGCTTGACATGTGTAGTCACTGATTTAGTTGTCAGAGCAGATGCTATCAGGATCACAGAGAGCACCATAAGACTTGTGCTAATGTGTCGTGAGACTATGCAGGCAGATGTCTGTTTCTGTGGTGGAGGGGCCCCGTGCAGACCTAGACATCATGGCGAGATCTTACCATCGCCAAGCCCTGAAAGCAGTGAGGCCACGATAAACTGATGGGCAGAAGGCCTGGCACTGTGGATGTAAAGGTTGGATGGAAAAAAGGTCAAAGACAGTCTACATTTCTGCCCTCAGATAGTGTAGCCAAGCCAGGCATCTGTGACTTCTTCCCTGGGCTACCTGATACTCTCTTACACAGAAGCTACCATGGTAGGAAACTGGTTGGGATGTGTCGGCATTGGACTGGGGTCCAGGTTATCTTTGAAACATTCAGTGCTAAGTGCTAGAAGTGAACGAAAATGAGAATAAAGGACATTCAAAGTCGGCTAGCATCAGTGAATAAAATTATGGGAGGCCCATGATAATGGTAGAAGAAAACTTCACACGGTTCTTGTTGGCCTTTTGTGGAGTTGAAATCCTTTCTTGGTCGATACAAATACAAATTTTAGGAACAACTGTGGTAAGGACACAAGTGTGATGTGAGTGGGGTAGTTGCCTTTGTTATTCAGTTTTGACGTGATGTTGAGGGTCTCGTATGCACCACAAGCCGGCTCCTCCTGCACCCCCAGCTGAGTCATGAGCATTAGTTGAAGGAGGATCTCACACACACCTCAGGGCCCCTGGAGTTTCTTCTAAAGAACCCTCTTCTGCCTTCCTGAGGGACCCAGGAGAAGAGAGGCACAGGCTCTCGAAAATGTCTGCATCTTAGTTAAGTGGTTTCCTGCTCTGAGCAGGAACTTACCAGCTCTGTGTACTTGTAGGTGGAAATAGAACCAGTGATTCGGTCTTGACCTTCTGCCCTTGTCTTTTCATCACGACAGAGCCAGGTGGCCCATCTTTTACCATCGGCAAAGCTATTTGGTTACTCTGGGGTCTGGTGTTTAACAACTCCGTCCCCGTGCAGAACCCAAAGGGGACCACCTCCAAGATCATGGTGTCTGTGTGGGCCTTCTTTGCCGTCATCTTCCTGGCCAGCTACACTGCCAACTTAGCTGCCTTCATGATCCAAGAGGAGTATGTGGACCAGGTTTCTGGCCTGAGTGACAAAAAGGTAAGAGAACCGTTTGAAACCTCCTGTCTTGTCCTCAGTCCTATTCTGAGCCATGCTCGAAAGTTCTCACGTACCTGTTAATTTCCTCCACCTTTGCAATCAGGGTAGTTCTTTCTTATGTTTCCTTACATGGGGACTTGGGAGCAAAACTCAGGGTCCCTACTGAAATAATAGTACTTCACATTTGCCTTCTGATTTGTGAAAGGTTGGCAAAAGCACGCCCCGGGCTGCAAATAAGGGGCTTGGTGTGGTCGCGGCTTTCTGAGTATGTGGTACCTCCTGCAGGACATGCCTGGGTGGCCCGTCAGCGCAGGGCTGCCCATCCGGCGTGTTATTAGAGGGCCGCCCCCGGCACCCCCAGTGAGGGCGCGGGCCCATTGCGGCCTTCATTTTCCTCCCAGTGGTGTTTGGCTGTGGGCTCTCCGTTTGTTCATCTGCACACTCGTGTGTTCCCAGGGCTAAGCAGGAGGGTGGTACACACTGTTCCTGAAGAGAAGGAACTGCTATTTAACACGATGACTGCCCTGCGTGGTGCTGGTGAATAGGTGGCCCCCATACGTAAGGCAGGCCTCTCTGCCGGGCTCTGCAGTTGGGAGGGGAACAAGAGTGTCTGCTGGCTTGCATCTTTCCTGGAGGAGGATGTGGGGAACCTGTCCTACATACAGCACCCTCCAGGTCTGCCGGAAGCGTCGCAGCGTCTGCGGGCGGGTCTGTCTCCTGAAGCCATGATCGCTAGGATGGTCCAAGACCGGGGATAGGAGCTACCTCCACGGAACGGCCAGTAAGACTCATGGGCGCCCCTGCACGGTTCTGGAGACTCGCTCACAACAGATTTCCCACCGTGTGCTTCCTTGCAAGTTAGGAAATGTGAAGGGTGCCTGGGTGGCTCAGTCAGTTAAGCGTATGACTCTTGATCTCAGCTCAGATCATGGCCTTATGGTTTGTGAGGCTGAGCCCCACATCAGGCTCTGCACTGACCCTGCGGAGCCTGCTTGAGATTCTCTCTCTCTCTCTCTCTCTCTCTCTCTCTCTCTGCCCCACCCCCTTCTCTCTCAAAATAAATAAAATTAACTTAGAAAACAGATTTAGAAAATGTGATTTCCTACACCTTTCGCCAGGATGAAACTACAAGATACAGATAGATGTGTATTTAGAACAGAAAGGTCAGAGAGATTTCTAACTTGGGGCAGATTTCCCCAAAATAAAACTTTCAACACTTAGCAAATGGTTTGAGAAGAGTAAAATGGAAGAGCTAGTCTTTTTTGAGGACACCGTTTCTGATTTCTCCAGCTACTCATCTCTACTCACCAAGAACACTCAAAAGCATGTGAGAAAGGAAAACAAACTTCAAAGGAAATGAAAAAAAATATTTATGTACATATATGGGTCATTCACTATGTTTACCTTTTCATCTTATCTCTCTCTCTCTGACTTGTCTTCCTTTATTTTCTTCATTTTTTTTTAGATTTTTTTTTTAACATTTATTTATTTTTTTGAGAGACAGAGGAGATAGAGCATGAGCAGAGGAGGGGCAGAGAGAGAGGGAACCACAGACTTTGAAGCAGGCTCCAGGCTCTGAGCTGTCGGCACAGAGCCCGACGCAGGGCTCGAACTCACAAACTGCGAGATCGTGACCTGAGCCAAAGTTGGACGCTTAACCGACTGAGCTACCAAGACGTCCCATTTATTTTCTTCATTTTTAAAAATAATACCTCTTTTGTATTTCCTTCTTCCTTATTTTTAAGGGCTTATTTACTTTGCTCTTCTAACGCATGATTTATTATTCATTTATTCATATCTTCATGAATTTATTACTTAATTCATTTTAAACATTTCTCTTTGTTCCTTCCTCAACATTTTTCATCATTATGATCCTGACTCAGAAAAGTTAAATTACATACCTCCCTTCGTCTCCTGTTACACTCATTTTTGTGCCTGTTTCTATATCGGGGCAGCAGTGGAGCTAAGGACAAGTAGCTCCTCAGGGCTCTTCACTTGAATACGGCATAGATGGGGTGGACTGTGCCCACCCTAACATATGCATGTGGCCGCAGCACGGTGGACCATGTCCTCATGTGTGGATTTGTCAGAGGCGTGGCCAACCGTGTCTTCTCATCAGGCCATTCAGAGGCTTAGTAGACCATGTCCCCTCACAGAATATGGTGGGACCATGTCACCGTGCCATCAATAGTATGACAGAGTTACACATGGCAGAGGTACCATGGACCACAGTCCTTGGAGCCCTGGGCTCCCAAGTGAGGGGTCCACCATGCTTGTCATTTTGTTTTCTTTGAGTATCTCTGAGAATTGCTTAGGGCACTGGATTCATCTTTCCCATACATTAACGAACCACCTGGCAGCAGTCATATGATTTTCTCTTTGAATTAAGCATAATTAAGATGCAAGGAGATGGTTTTCCCTTCTCTGGTGTTGAAAGAACATATTGTTCTAGGCCGCTTAAACCAGAGACGTTGTGCACCTGTCTGTCCTCCACACCACGTTGGTGATATTCTGAAAAGTTGGACCCCATCAGTTCCTGGCTTAAAGAATGTCAATGGCTCCCCCCTTGTGTATAGAATACAGACACTTTTTTACTGATCTGCACCTCAGGGCCTTTACACATGATTCCCAGTGTGTTCCAGCTCTTCAGTCTCATCAGCCAGTGCTTAGGGTCTTCTGGCCCACTTTCTAGCCCCCTAGACTTTCAGCCATGCCTCTATGTGTGCATCTTCCTGGGTTGTTCTTCTTCTGACTTCCTCACTCACTAAGCTCCTGCTGAAATTTCTAGACCCAGATTAGAGGTCACCTCGTTTGTAGAGCGTTCCTTGGGTCATCTGGACGGTGAGTCATTCCCTCCACTGACGTGGCAGTCATTCATACCTTTATTAATAACACCTGTCTTCCACAGTGTCGTGTAACAATCTATAGGCCTATACCTGACTGTATCTCCCCCATTTGACCATGACTTCCATCAGGGCAGTGACCATAACTTGGTTATCCTTTTTTAAAGTCTGTGAGGAGAGAGGGAGACAGGGCATATTTACGTAAGAGCCTCTGGCACAGAGCAGTGGACTAAGCATTACAGGCAAAAATAAAATGAAAGCAGGAACCCTTTAGCAACTGTGTAATTTGAAAATACTTGAAAATGGCTATCAGAACTTTGCAAATGACAAAACAGTAAAGTGTAAGCATCCTCCCAGAAAGTGTCACATAATTTACATAATTATAGAAAACATTTAAGTAACTAATGACATATAACGCCTATCAGTGTCAGGAATGCTAATACAAATCAGAAAGAGGGTTTTCTGAAAGTGCACTTATAATGTCAAACTCGATATTAGTTTTCCTTCACAACACCTTAAGAAAACAAAGTCTTGGGCCTGGCTTTGCATGACAGCAAGTGTATTCTGTGAATTTAGAAAAAGAAAATGTGAAGAATGAAGTTGTCAAGACAGTAGCATTGAGAATAGAAATGAGGTGATTTTAAAGATTCTTCTTTCAATGAAATTAAATTTTCATCAAGGAAAGTAACATTTAAAATGGAAATGATTTCTTAAACTTGTTTTCACTGTCACGAATGGCATCTCTTCCATGCAGCTCGAATCAGATGGTAAATATCTGGCAGTGATAAGGAGATGACATTTATAGCCATTAAATTTATGTACCTGTTAGGAAATTATCTTCAATTTTATGGCAGAAAAAAAATGTTTCCAGATCTCATTTAGGGTAAGGTATAAAATCAGAGTGTTCAGAGTTAAGTTTCCATGAAAACCTATTTTGGGGCTCCTTTTCCCTGGACGGCTTCCACTTTGCAGTAGCACATTACATCAGTGAATTCAGAATTAGCCCACTACATGCTGTAACTAAATATGGGTGCAAGTTCTAACATTTAGCAGCCCTACTGTACATATCGTCAGCTCCCTGGTGGGAGGAAAATGTAAGGAAGCTGGTGACATCTTTCTTCTCTTAACAAAGACCCACCGCGCCGAGTCTTCTACTATTTTCACCTGTCCAAAAGGATTTCTCATTTTGCAGCCCGCCAGCTGCAGAAAGGAAGGGAAAGAGCTTGACCGCCAGGTGAAGGAAGGGACACCTTTACCAGGCCCTAGGTGCATCGTGTATGCTACCTCTATTTTATGTGTGTATTCTTCACGTAGGTATGATCCTTCCCACTTTACAAATAAGGACAGTGAGACTCTGGGAAGTTTACTGACTTCCTTCTCTAAAGTCACACATTCTCAAGTGATAGAGCCAAGGTTTGAGTCCCTGTGTGTTTGGCTCTAAAATCACGCTGCCAGGATTTCTCCCTTGCAGCTCATCCCAGACAAAGTTATGACGTAGCTAGGGCTTGGTATTGACACCCTGCCCCCACTTTTTCATTTAATTTTTCTGTTCTCTCACTTAATGACTTTCTGTATCAGTTCCACTTAACCCTCAGGTCGCCATACACCGCCACCCCCAGGGCTACTGTTACTACCTCTGTTACGGATAATGGTAATAGCGGTCATCATTATTATTAATATAATTTCAGCAGTAATATCTCTGCTAACGTTTTTTTCGGCTCTTACCAGGCGGAATGCCAGATACATTACATAGATTATCTTATGTAATGATGCTATTAATGTTTTCATTTGTAGATGAGGAAACTGAAGTGGGAAAGGTTAAGTAAGTTTCCTTCTGATGTTCTTCACTGCCGTCAGCCCGTAAACGGTGTGCCATCCTGTTTAGATCCCAGCGCTTTGTTTCCGTTAATCCCCTTTCTTCCTAGCCTCCCTTCTACCTTGCAAAGCGTAACGTGTTAGATCCTTTCCCTCTACCCAAAAGCAGCTATCTGATGAACTGATCCACAATAATTAGACAGTATTGTAGCATTTGCACCTTACTTCAGAAATCTTTGGGGGGCATTGCTCTGAACAGGGAATGATGGTGATTTCCGGTACTTGTGCAGGCTAATGGCCCAACAGATTGACTTTAGCTTGAGCCTCGTGTGACCCTGAGCT